CCTGCGCCTGATGACCCTCGATGAACCGTCCAACCTTGCGCGCGTGGACGGTGACATCCTCGTTCGTGACAACACCGTCTTGCTGGACGTGGATGCACTGGCGAGCCTGCAGTCGTACGGTGGCTCGTGGGTGATTGCCAACAACTCGAACCTGTGTTTCATTGGCCCATTCCTGCTGGAGAACATTGCTTCGTTGGAAGTGAACAGCGACAGCGAGGAGTTCCCAGACGTGATGCTGGCTCGTGATGACTGCCCCGCCGAGCGCGCAGACACAGATGGCGATGGAGTGTTTGACGACAAGGACAACTGCCCGCGCGTGTTCAACCCGCAGCAGCGCGACAGCGACAGCAACGGCATCGGCGACGTGTGCGACTGCAACGAGGGCTCGGATGCGTTCTGCGCCAACGGCGGCACGTGCGTGCAGGACGCGCAGGCGCGCCACTACATGTGCGCGTGCCCGGTGGAGTTTGAGGCCCAACCTGCAACATCTCCAGCGTGTATCCTGTGCCGCAGATGCAGGTCGAGCACTCGGCGCTGTTCCAGCAGCAGCCCGTTCGCGTGTCCTCCGTCGCCTTCACGCAGCCGTACCTGCTGCTGCCAGGCACCAACCCAGAGGTCGTCACCGACAGCGCGACCACTGACACGGTGACGACGCGGCTGAGCGCTGCGTGGGCATCATTGCAAGCGGAGGAAGACGTTGATGTTCCTCGCCAGCCAGCGCACGACGTGGTGGCGACGCTGCTGTCTGCCAGCACGGTGTGGTTTGACGCTCCGCACGTGCGGGTGCACCTGCAAGCGCGCGACGCCAGCTTCAACATGCGCACTGCTGCCACCACTGTCAGCATCACGCTGAGCGCACGTGTGGACACTGATGGTGACGGCACCAAGAAGGACGTGAGCGTACAGGCGTGGTGTGAGATGAGCGCCGCTTCTTCAGGCTGCATTGCGTGGACGAGTGTGCCTCAGTCATGGTTCCCCCTTGAGAACAGCGACGGCACACCGGCTGCCATGCGCGCAGTCACGGTCGCGTACGGCATTGGCGCTTCTCTTTCTGCCTCTGCGTTCATGCAAGAGCTGCATGAGGACATGATACGTGCACTTGCTTGCTCAGACAGACTACGCATGCACACGCCTTTACTCATGGGGTTTGTCCTTGCGAGCACCAGCGTCACCCATCCCTTCACAGACATGTGCGCACACTGACACACGTAACCCCACGCACACGCACACACACGCACACACATACCCCGACGTGCAGTTGATCCTGATGCGCCATCCACACTCAACGTGACATCGGCAGCACCGACAAGTGCCACCGCTGCGTGGCCGCGGCCCCACGGTAACTTTGCTCCCATCGACTACTACACGCTCGATATCCGCCTGCACAACACCACGGACGCGTGGCTCCCCGTCACATGTGCCAATACCTCGTTCCCTCCTGGTGACACGCGCACACCGCTCCCGCACAACCAGTGGCGAGTATGTGACAAGAGGCTCAGTGTGTGTGTGTGTGTGTGTGGTGAAGGGGAGTGTGAGTTTGAGTGTATGTGTATGTGTGGTGAAGGGGAGTGCGAGTTTGAGTGTGCGTTGTGTGTGTATGTGTGTATGTATATATGCATGTGTGTGTATGTGTGTATGTATATACGCATGTGTGTGTGTGTGTGTGTGAGAGCACGTTCATATCCCATTCGAATCTCAACGTTCATGTGTGCACTTCCCGTGTGCGTCATTTCTGCTGCACACATCCACACCAAACATGATCCATGCACACAGTACGCCTCCTTCATCTTTGCTCGCTCTCTCTCTCTCTCTACTATTGGCCTCACACGCCTCCCTTCCCCCAAAATCACACCCACGCACGCCTCCCCCATGTGCAGTCGCTATCTTGATCACGAGCCCGCGAGTATGGACGAGCTGGCAACACCGCTGCACGCCACAATCACCGGCCTGCTTCCGTTCACCGCCTACGACGTGCGTGTGCGCGCTGTGCACGGTCGCGGGGTGAGCGGGTTTACAACAGCAGGTGTTGTGACTGCAGAGGATGTGCCGAGCAGACCCGCCGCTCCGCTGGTGCTGGAGGTGCGGCAGCGCGCTGTGCGGGTGAACATCAACGCCCCGACCCCCGCCAACGGCCGCATCGTGGCGTATGATGTGCAAATCGTGGAGACGCGCATGGAAACCCCTGGCCGCCGGCCCCTCACTCGCATCATCACGCTCCCCACCAACGGCGACACCACCACCACCAACAACAACAACACCACCACCAACGCCACCATCAACACCAACGCCAGGGAATACACGAGCAGTGACCTTCGCCCGGCCACGCCGTACAACGTGAGCGTGCGCGGTGTGACGAGTGCAGTAGCCGGACCGTTCAGTGCACCTGCGCTGGTGACGACGCTGCCGGCTGCCCGGTGACAGCGCTAAATGAGGTGCACGTGCGCGTCAACGCGACGGCCTGCCTGTTTGAGTGGCTGCCGCTCGCCGGGAACGATGCGGTGTACGCTGTTGTCATGGGTTCTTGTGGCCGTCCGCTGCGTTGTGCGTTGTGCGAGTGCGCGCTGCAGTTGGCGGGCCGTTCAGTGCACCCTGGTTGCCTGTGTTGTTGTGTAGGCGTGTGTTAAACTTACCGCTACTGCTGCTGCACTGTGGTTCTGCATGTGCCTTGTGTCCTTAGGTCCTTGAGTAAAGATGAAAGGCAACGTGTTGATGTGACATGATTTGACACACAATGCACAGAAAGCTCAGAATGCTAGAATGGGACACCACAACAATACCTGACAAAGCTCGACAGCTCGAGCTTTGGCTTTTGTGCAAAAGGCAGTGGCGTACCTCCAACCGAAAGACAGGGTGGTAAAATGTTGGTAAAAAGGGGCGTTGGCTGTGAATGGCGCGTTGGACGATAATCTGTCAATGCCGCTCCCGCTTG